CGTTATTTTCCCTTCCTGCTTTTTAAGGACCCCCCGTTTTTCCTTGGCTCCTTGGCCCTTTAAAATAAAGAAGGGGTCTTGGGTGTGGGTCCCCTTTTGGGATCCCTTCTTTTTTGGGGTTTCTATGGCGCTTCCCGGGCCCTTAGGAAAGTCTAATTTCTTTTCACTATTTAGGGGAAGTTTTCTGGTCATTATTTTCTTTCAAATAGGTTTTTAAATTTTAAGTTTTAACCCCTTCCTTCTCGCCCCCCCCTATAATTTGGATGTTGGTTACGGTTGGAAGCTGTCCCAGAAGGCTCCTTTACACTATCTTTGTATTTTTTGGGATTCTTTTTTCATTTTGCTTTTTCCGGTTGGGTGTTTTTTTGCTTTCTCTGTGTTTTCAAATCTTTGACCTTGATTCTTGCGATCCTCTGGTCTGCTGTTGGGAGTCTGTATAATATTCTTTATTTCAGTCAGTGTATGCTTAATTTCTAGTTGGTCTTTATCACAACATCGAGGATCTCGCTAGATTTCTTGAAGATCTCACTACATTTATCAGCAGTCTCACCAGTCTTTTCGAGGGCCTTACTAAATTTATCGGCGGCTTCTAGACAGTTCTTTAAAGACCTTAAAAGTGTGGTTTTAAACTCTATATCCAGCTGTTTGCTTTCCTCCATTTCTGTCATTTGTGTCCTGTTTCTTTGTCTCGGCATTTTTTATGTTTCGCTGTGTCGATAGAGTGCCTTTCTGTGCTAAGTGTCCCAATTACCTGAGGTAGACACTCTTGGTGCACCCCCTTGTGGGCTTTGTGCACAGTCTTGTTGTAATTAAGCCTTGATTGTTGTAGTTATCACTGGGAGGAACTGACCTCCAGGCCAATTGGCTGTGAGAATCAGCTGTGTCTGCAGTGGGAGAACTTCTGTGCTGGAGACACCCCTCTGGGGCAAGACTTGCTTCAATGGGGCTTTGGTGCTCACTGAGTCTGCCCCCTGAGTGTGTCTTTTATGGTTCCACGGAGCTGCAAACTGGATGGTCCCACTCTGACCTCTGGGCTTCCTGGCTCCTGGATCTCTAGGGAGGTGCTAATCTAGCCTTTGCCTGAGACTATCCAGCAAAAGCCTCCCTGCAGGGCTTGGGCGGGGCGGGTCCCACGGGATCAACAGGGCGGGGCTAGCAGTTATGGCTGCTCTCAGTCCTGCCCTCAGAGGCTCTGCTTCTCAGTGTCCCTGTAATCGCTGCAAGCCCCACGGAGAGAAAGCTGCCCTAGGGTTCTGAGCGATGCCAGACAGTCCCGCTTCTCCCATATGAGTCTGGGTCCCTAGAGACTCGCCCGGAACTGGAGCTCAGAGCCTGAGACTCCTCCCGTTCTCTGAAAAGACACCCGAGCCCTCAGGGGCCAGACGCCTCAGCA